CTCAGATCACAAATTAATTGAAGTTCTCACAAGTATGGGGAGTAGACCTGCACCAGTTCCAAATACCAGAGGAGGAGAATTCAGCAAATTCAATTTCAATAATAAACTGATTAACTGGGAGAAAATAAACCAAGACCTCACAGATATAAGCTGGGAAGAACTAGAAAATGTAAACCTGAACTAGTGCCTGGAAAAAATAGGCTCAGTAGCACTAGAAATATGCTCAAACTACATACCCCTAAGAAAAAAAAAAAAAGAGGAAGATATGCAGATTGGAACGGGAATGGACTTCCCTCTATAGGTGAAGGTCACACCCTATAGGTCACACTATATCTCAAAATGACGAAGGCAAGGTAGAGAAATAGAAATGATTGAACTAAAGCTACAAGAATCATACAAAATCCAGGAGACACAAAGAGAGCAAAAAGCCATCAGTGAAAGAGAGAAATCTAAAATATCTTTTCTCCTATGCAAAATCAAGCTAAAAAAAAACTAAATCTAGTATCGGACACCTGCGAAAGGGAGATGAAACTTTCACAGATGACAACAAAGAAATGAGCGAAATACTGAGGAATCAGTACGACTCTGTTTTCAACAAACCACTGAACACTGAAGATTGATAACCCAAATGAATTTTTTATGGCTGTAATACTAACATCCCGCCAAACACACGACGAAACTACAACATTGGTACGACGTTTGAACAAGTTTTAACACTTAACAGGCGCTGACTGTTAGCTGTCAGGCGCCTAACAGCTGAGTGGACAGCGCTTCGGATTCGTAGACCTGAGGTTCCAGGTTCGATCCCCGGTAAAGGCAGAGATAAATGGGCAAAAATGTTTCTTTCACCCTGATGCCCCTGTTATCTAGCAGTAAATAAGAACCTGGGAGTTGGACAGCTGCTACGGGCTGCTTCCTGGAGTGTGTAACAAAAAGGAGGCCTCGTCGAGGACAGGGCCACGGGATCACCAAGTCCCGAAATCATCAAGATAACCTCAAGATAAGTTGTAACAACCAATATAGCAAGTTGTAACAACATACATCATAAAAACTTTATAACAAGATGTAACAAGCGGAAAATAGGGACAGTTATGTTGTGTTTGCAGGGATCAAAATCATATATCAGACGTCACCCTATCCCCACTGGATTTTGAAGAAGCCATAGACAGTATGCCTATGCACTCTGCACCAAGCTCTGATTCTTGGAACTCTATATTCATCAATAACTGTACAAAACCAATATTGCAGGTCCTTCACATTCTTTGGAGATAGAGCCTAGATACTGGCATTATCCCTGACATATTAAAAAACAGCAGAGAAGGCACCACTCCATAAAGGAGGAAATAAGGCAGAGGCAAAAAGTTACAAACCGATAGCACTAACATCACACATCATAAAAATCTTTAAAAGTGCTAAGTAGTAAGATAACAAAATACATGGAATCACAGCATCTCCATAATCCTGGTTAACATGGTTTCAGAACAGGGCGCTCTTGCCTATCACAGTTGCTGAACCACTATGACATGGCCTTAGATGCCATGGAAGACAAACAAAATGCTGATGTAATTTACACAGATTTTGCAGAAGCCTTCGACAAATGTCACCATGGTGTTATTGCACACAACATGCGCTCAAAAGGAATTACTGAAAAAATAGGCAGAAGGATCCTGACTGACAAAACCCAATGTGTAATACTGTAGTCAACAAAAAATCTGGACCATCAACCGTGAAAAGCTCAGTCCCCCAGGGTACTGTGCTTGCTCCAGTACTTTTCCTCATCCTCATATCAAAACATAGACAAGGAGTCAATCTATAGTACTGTATCATCCTTTGCAGATGACACTAGGATTTTTATGAAAGTAGACAACATAGAGGACACAGCAAATTTCCAATCATATGTAAATCAGGTCTTTCTATGGGCTACAGAAAATAATATGGTATTTAATGAAGATAAGTTCCAAATCCTGCGCTACGAAAATAATAAAATATAAAAACATAAACTACATACAAAGCGCAGTTAAATCATAACACACGAACAAAAAGGCAATGTAAAGGATTTGGGTGTACTCATCTCGGAAGACCTTACCTTTAAATAACAATAAAATAGCCTTCACAATTGCAAGAAAAATAACAGGTTCAATAACAAGAACCTTTCAAACTAGAGATGATATACCAATGATGATACTTTTCAAGATGCTAGTGCTCTCTCCAGAGTGGAACACAGTTGCACAGTGACAGCCCCTTTCAAAGCTGGAGAAATTGCTGACCTGGAGAGTGTTCAGAGATCCTTTACTGCTAAAATCCACTCAATAAAATATCTAAACTATTGTGACTGACTAAAATGCCTAAATCTGTATTCTGTTGAGTGCAGGCGGGTGTACAGTTACGGTGCATACAACATGTAGATACTTATACTGTATATAATGTGTGTATATAGTATAACAACACCCCAAACAGTATTGTTGGGGGAAGAAATTTTAGTACGCCTGACCTTGAATGAGTGAGGGAGGCAGCCGCCAGTTGACTATGTGCATAGCAATGTCTCTTTGTGCCTGAACTAACTATATCAGCTTAGTTGTACAGTTGTGGTGAACAAAACATGTAGATATTTAAATATAATGTATGTATATAGTGTAAAAACTGCAAAACTATTTGTTTATTGTTTTATGAAAGTAATAATTGAAGCACTAATATGAACACCATACTTTTGAGTATAGCGATGATTCACACATTTTATTATATAAATCTATCACACTACACTAAATCTATATAAACCTATCGGGCGCCTGACAGCTGGGTGGACAGAGCTTCAGATTCATAGTCGAGGTTCCAGGTTTAATCCCCGATGGAGGCGGAGACAAATGAGCAAAATGTTCCTTTCACCCTGATGCCCCTTTTACCTAGCAGTAAATAGGAACCTGGAAGTTAGACAGCTGCTACAGGCTGCTTCCTGGGGTGGAGGCCTGGTCGAGGACCGGGCCGCGGGGACACTAAAAAGCCCCGAAATCATCTCAAGATAACCTCAAGATGTAATTAGCACGACCGGGGGAGCCGGTCGGCTGAGCGGACAGCACACTGGACTTGTGATCCTGTGGTCCCGGGTTTGATCCCGGGCGCCGGCGAGAAACAATGGGCAGTTTCTTTCAACCTATGCCCCTGTTACCTAGCAGTAAAATAGGTACCTGGGTGTTAGTCAGCTGTCACGGGCTGCTTCCTGGGGGTGGAGGCCTGGTCAAAGACCGGGCCGCGGTGACACTAACAAAAAGCCCTGAAATCATCTCAAGATAACCTCAAGAAGATGTAACTTGTTCTAACAGCTGTGCTGTTAGCTCATGCTGCAAGCACCTGCCTTGGTTGCTCACTAAGAACCGAGGCCTTCACACCCAGGAATGGCGTCGTAAGATTTTTTTTAATGTGGCGTCTTTACTGGAGGCCTGAGAAAGCTGATGCGAGCCCCATGTACCCACGGGATTTTTAAATCTCATGTTGTATGTTAAATAATCCCTAGATGACTGCAAAGGTTGGTCAGATATGTGGCAGTCATCCCTGTATGACTTGCACAGTAGAAGGGTTTAAGAAATTTTCCTTCATAAATCTTTAGCAAATCCTCTATCACTAACCTGCCAAGAAAACCACCTTTTGTTATTTCTTATACTGTATATTGAAACCTATAGAAATTTCCATCTATTGTTGTGCTGTCCTTCCCTATGGCAGCAGCCATCTTTGTTGTTGATACTGTTGATCAAAATTTTTCACTCACTTTTGCATATGTATTTACTTATTTTGTAAATTCCCTACACCTTTATGTTGCCAGGGAATCCACCCATCAAACTGTTGCCTGGGCAGCCCGCCCTCCTAAGGTTTCCCTACGTCAAGAAAATGGTCAAATTAAAGTATCATCCCACCGAACACTTGACGAAACTACGACGCTGCTACAATGTTCGAACAAGGTTTAACACCTTCTAACAATTGTAATGACCAATATAGCAAGTTGTAACAACATTCTAATACATCATTAAAATGTTATAACATGCAACGATTTTATTACAAATTGTAACAAGGGAATCATAGGGACCGTGACATTGAGTGTTTACAGGGATCTCCTAACCTACCAGAAAACCCAAAACAGAAAACAGGACAGTACATCACTTTCGCGAGCCGCTTCCATTTAAAATTAAAATAGTAAGACAATTTTTGGACTTGTGTAATGCATACGATTGAAATGCGACATTCTTTGTAAGACAGGTTACCCAGGGACACCACCCATACTCTGGTAATTGTTTTTTTTCCTGGAGTTCCTGGATGTACTATGTAAGTGTAGCTCGCATTAATTTCAAAAGACTCGAGTGTTTATTTACATTGTTTGGGAAATTCATTTAGCAGTCACAAGGCTTCAGTCTCTGAACCAAGCAGTGGTTTGTATTGGTTCACTGATTTTCTGGATGCTTTTCCAGTGATTTTCTGGATGCTTTTCCAGTGGGGTGGCAGAGTGCCACCTGTTCTCTGTGAGGGTGCCAGGTCCCCTGTAGGCCAAACACAACTCTACAGCTAATGTGACCTAGTAGTAGGGAGCCATCTCAGCGAGATGGCATCAGGAAGCTATTAGGGGCTTCCCCAGAAAAGCATGAAAAATTTTAAGAGTACAGTACTGTAAATATAATAAATGGGCAAAGGAAGATTGGACACTACAAGCTTCAGTTCTATCCTACAAACCACAAACAGAAATTGGTACTCACAAGCAAAAATGTAGTCACACACACACACACACGAACACTACATAATCTCATAACAATCCTTACCTACAGCTGCATTAATAACAGTTCATAAAAAGCTTGAGGAACCTTCCAAAGGAACCAAATATTATTTAGCTATACCCAGTTAGTAGTCAGCAAAAATGGGTGAATTATTCATTGTGAATGCAATATAGTAGTATTAAAAACAATGCAAGAGTCTAATAGGATTTCTTAAACTACCTAAAACAAGTTTGCAAACATCTTTACCTACACAGAGAGTTTTGAAGCCCTTGCAGAGTCTTCTCTTTCCCATTCCCAAATGAAAGTGGGCAACATCAAACGTGGACCAACGACTGTAGCATGTAGATATCTTGGCTACAAGAACTTGTCTACTTCAATGTATAAACATTCATGTGCTCTCAATGACAACACTGCTGGCAGGACAGTATAGCTCCTCACGACTCCCCACTAACTGTCTTCATAAACAATAATAGTTTGCCATCAGTTCCTAAGCTTCCTTAAATCTTTTTTTGATGGGTACACTCCCTAAACTTCCTTAGCTAAGTCACTCTTCTGAAAGCCCAGAATAGTGTATACAGTATACATGCCCTATTTTAAAAATTAAAGAAATTGAATTATTGCCTACTCAGCATAAACCAATAACATTCCTGCACCAACTCTTCAGGAAGGCAGGCAAAGTATTGTTTGACCAATATGAATCAGGTATGAGTCTTCATTAACACCAATGTAAAGAAGGAAAACTAATTAAAAAACATATCTATTCAATAAATTGCTTTCATATTAGCTTACATTAGTTACATAAATTATATAAACTTTTAAGTCTACATACTGTAATACAGTAACTTGTTTAGTTAAACAATTGTCTAAAATTATTAATTAGAAAAGAAGTTGTAGATTTTAGAAAATGTTTTAAATGTGCAAGTGACATCTTGGGGCAAGTGTTGCCATGGCTCCAGGGACCCCAAAACAAGAACTGCTCTCACCTCCACTCATATCTGCCTACTCCTATAATACGTACAGTATGTAAGCCATTACAGTCTACAAGTTCCCCCAAAAATAAATGTTCCTCTTCATCGAGCTATGTTATCCATGTCTTATAATTTTCCTTTATTCTTTTCTGCTGGGTTTCCAGATCATCTCGCCTCTGACGCAGACAAGACAATGAGAATGAACCCTTTACAAATGTCTGAGGACTCCTCAATATTTACAAATAACTACCTGGTAGAATGTAAATGAACAGCTAGAGAAATTCTACAGAAGCTTGCTAATTCAGACCTGCAGAAAACCCAGGTAAGGTAACCCAGGTAACTTCAGGTAGCCCAAAACTGAGTAATAATGTACAGTACTGTACAGTATAGCCAAAATAGAGTCCGAGCTCATGATTAATTAATTAATAGACAGAAATCCAAATTACTGAGTGTTGCAGTTCAGTTACTGAACATGTGGTGGCTTTTGTTCATCACAAATTACATTCAAAATGCATTAAAACAAACTAATATAATACAGCATGTATTACTATAAGAAATAATAATTGGTTAAAAAAAAAAAATTACACACACACACACACCTCATCACTGAAACAAGGATTATCAAGAAACTTACATCATTATATGGAGGACCTATGGCAATTCCACGACCAAGAGATGGCTTCCTGAACCTTGCAGGAATTAACCTCACTGAGGACCAAGTCACTCTCCTAAATCTGGGCATAAACTGTCACGTTATGTCCAGACCAAGTGAGATGGCCCGGAAAGTAGAGTTGGAAATTCTGTTGGACAACATATTCGACCTCGAGACACAAAAGAAGGTCACTACCAAAGATACCTTACAAGCAGAACTTATTGCAGAAGGAGGAAAGAATCGAGGCAATTACAGAAGCACCATACTGTCCCCCGAGCTCAAAGCGGCAGCTAAAAGCCTTCGTGAGAACAAGGAGATAATTGTCAGGAGAGGTGACAAGTCGCCAATATATGTCATTCTTAAAAAAGACGAATATCTGGCGAAAATGAACATCATACTCTCTGACCAAACTAAGTTCCAAAGGGTAACGAAGGACACTACAGCCGAATTAAGAGCAAAGGTCAACAAACTGATCAAAACTGTGAACGCCAAGAAATCCGAACTCCACCTGCCAAAGATCATTGGGGAATATAAACCTGGATATGCGTATGGAAATGTCAAGACACACAAGCCTGGAAACCCACTTCGGCCAATCATTAGCCAGATACCCACACCCACGTACAGACTGGCGAGGCGACTCAACGGCCTGCTGACTCCTTATGTTCCCTGCGCCTTCAGCCTGAAGTCTCCAAAGGAATTTGTTGACTTACTGCGGGGCACACAGGCCACAGGGATAAGAGCCTCGTTGGACGTAGAATCGCTGTTTACCAACGTACCTGTGGACGAGACAATCGGGATGATAGCCGACAGAGTGTATCGTGATCCAGCCTGTACTCCTCTTGACATACCAGAAAATATTCTGAGGAAACTACTCCAAGCTTGTACTAAAGAGGCACCCTTCTTGAGCCCGGATGGGCACATGTATAAGCAAGTAGATGGGGTCGCCATGGGTTCTCCCCTAGGTGTCCTGTTTGCAAACTTCTACATGGGTACCATCGAGCAAAAAGTCTTAGTCGACATGAACTTGAAACCGGCCATATACTGCAGGTATGTTGACGACATTTTTACACAGGTACCTGATGTCAGACATCTGCAGGAGCTGAAGGAGGCATTTGAGCAGAGTTCC